AATGAACAGTCGCTACACAGAACGCGACAAATCTAGGATACCCTATAGAGCTTTCCTCAGTAAAATTACAGATGCTGGTACCCATACAAGTACTTGTTCAGTAAACATACTGCTATGGGTACCCAATACAGTACCTACATTAGTATAATTACTAAGAATTTTCGAAGTACCCATATCGGGTACCTTGCTGAGGCTTTCTCAGTACATGGATACCTTGAACTCAGTACTTTCTCTAGGGTAAACTCGTTTCTCATCAAACCCATAGAAATGTATTTCTTAAAAACTTGCTTAAATAAGCTTGATGAAAAAAACGTGAACATCCATCCTCCGCTTCATAAAAAATTTCAAAATCCAGTTTAGACACGTTTTTATATAAAAACAAAGGTTTAAATACGTTTTTATTTTGGTACATTTTAGTTTAACGAACAAATAGTGGGCGACGACAATTAAATACAATGCGACTAGACTATATGTTAGATATTCATTCATTGATTCTAAACTGACCTTTGTTGCTATCCTATTATATCTTGTATCCATTTACTTGGGTCGTAGTTGAAATGATTGATTTTGTAACTGCACATTCAATTAATAAATTTTTTGTAGATCTTTTATGTAGCATTTTATGGTGAAAAAACTGCTTTGTGAGTTTCAAAATCATCTTTGTATGTGAAAAATCGGAAAAGTGCAATATTGCGATGTCGCTACTGGTGGCGGTAACATTAATATTTGTTAAAGTACGCGAACAAAATAGTTTTCATCGAAAAATTCTATAGAACTGCCAAATATTTTTCAGTCAAGTATTGAAAAAAACTGAAGAAAAGGTTGTAGCACGCTGGGCAACGCTTATTCAGCCGTTCCACCGATGATACTAGAAAGTCGTTTTAATTCAAATACATAACGAGTGAGAAACAGAAGTCGAATCGAAGGTATCAGTTGAATTGAAGGTATCAAGAACAACTTTTCTATCGAAAATCAAATCAGAAAATGCATGCAAAAGTTTAGCTACGCAATGCTAGCTCTACATGAACTCACGAAGATCATTTGAAAAATTTGTTATTCTACAGTACACCCATCTCCCATGAACATTGTACCAACAATGAATGATATAGATACATAAACTAAACTGGTCAGATTTATTAGAAAAGCACTGAAAAAATAGTTACAAAATAAAAAGAAACAAATAACGCTGTATAATATATCAAACAAACAGACATAATAAATTGAAAAAATTTTTATACAACAATAACGCAAGCAAGAGAGATTAATGTAAATTTGTTTCATTCAAAATTTTATGATATGGATGATTGGTGAAATGTGGTTGATAGGACAATGTGTTCATAAACATTGGTGACATTGTCGGATTGTTAGTAAATGATAAATAACGTTGTAATGCGCCCATCGGATGATTCGTGGACAACACTAGTGATGTTGGAGGCATTAGTGGAATATTATTCAATATACTCTTAGAACCACTACCATAAATGTGAGACGATGGTGAATGGACTTGAGCTAATGCATTTGCGTATAATAACCATAAATAATTTGGTTCTAATGTTTGATTGTGATTTGAAAGCAAATGCTGTGATAATGGCGGTGAATGAGATGGTATGGACGGCAATTCTTTTTTATTTGGTTCAATCAATGTTTCGATATTACGCAAATCATGTCTGACAAAAGCTGAGCGAGTATGTTGTTCGTCTTGTTGTTTAACTCGTTTATTTATTTGACTATTCTCTTCGTTATCACTGTCAAGTCTCGAACGTTTCGATATTATTCTATCATTTACTGGTACAGAATGTTTTAAATCATTCGCCGAGCTAGCATTTTTATCGATTTTGAAATCAGTTGAATTTTCCAACTGATGAAGAATAGGAAGCGATATTGTTGTATTAAGAGTTGGATAAAGTAATAATGGAGCCGAAATTGTTGTATTGGTTGAAGATGAAGATGGGGTCCTGTTTTTGCAGTCATTCTCATTAATACATCGTGGTGCGATAATGTTATTGGCAATAGTGCTAGTCGATTCAACATCAATAAAATCCTCGTCATCACTATGTGGATGTGTAGAATTGTTCGATAATTCAAAATTGAGTCGTCTAAAAGAATACAGAATGTTTCTTCAATTTCTTGTATGAGACTGTGTTTTATAATAGAAAAAAAGATCAACAGAACGTCTTCGACATTTTTTATTACTTATAGATACTTCTAGACTGATAGGTACTGCATGCAAGTAAAATGAAGTCTTTTTAATAAACATTTATTCTAAGCATGTCATTGATTTCAACAAATTGTAACAACGTAATTTTTCCTCCTATATTATTGTAAGGCGATTACTTGAGAAGAGTTACTATCATGTAGGCAGGCAAAGATAGATAACACAGAAGACTATGATTGGTAAAATGTCGCTGTATATAACACATCAAAAAGCGAAGAAATTTTATAAAATAAACTTTGATCATCTCATTAACCTAACATTTGATCGTTTTCCCCGCGGAAACGAAAAAGGAAAATCTCAATCTTATTTATATAGGATATCTTAATCACACTTTCACCTTAGATTAAAATGAACTGTCTAACTAAGAGAAAGAGTACTTAATTGAGAGTGGCGATAACGATACATCCTTCTTTTAACTCTTCTTCATCATAATGACTCGTTGTCATTAAACTACTGTGTGTGTGTGTATGATATGATAACTGCATAATGTCAAAGAAAACATTACTTAGCGTTGAAAAATTAAAAAGAAGCGCTTAGACAAATATAGATGTTTACAACAATCAACTTTTATTGGACCCGCAATCATAGTGAATGTGTTAAAGTGTAAATGCTCAAATCATTATTCAACATGAGTAACACAATGAAAACTGAAAAAAATGACGATGATGTACAGCTCATGAGTGAAGTCCTTATACGTTTTATACTGTATCAATCCGTCAAGATCTTACTATACCCATTTTATAGCCTACGCCAAGAGAAAGCAAATTTGATTGTGAATTTGTATTTAGCGTCAAAACTATTGTGTTGTCTACTTTTTCAAAAGCTATCTGGAAGAAGTACAGGTAGGTGCCGATGAGTATTTCTGAAAAACTGATCTTAAAAAACTTTTCTGGACAGATCAGAATTTGGCAGCATTATTTGTAGAGCTATTCAATATCTACAATAATAATAGATCAAAAAGCTGACATTTAGTTTTCTAAATGTTAGCTTCCAAAGTTTGAAAAGTAGGCCTTAAGGGACGACGTATTGTGAATGTGATGAATTTTACTCGAGTCAAAAAATATGAATCCTGGTGAATAATGATGTATTTCTGAGAAAAAATTTGATGTTAATACAACATTTATGTTCTTTCCGACCAACACTGTTAGCACAGTAATGGCAAAATCAGTATTCTGATAGCTAAGGGTACTTAAAAACGAATTATGTTTGAAAGAACGAGATTTTGCCATAACGGAATTCAAAAATCGATATTGTTTTTCGGAGTAAAAGATACATTCCTACACAACTCGATATAAGCTATAAGATGTGAATGATAAGATCTTGCCAGGTTGATATTGTGTAAAAAGCGGAAGGATCTCCCGTGAAACCTCTCTCCTTGATTTTGCTCAGATCCGAAGAGTCATTGAAAAACTAAAAGAAAATATTGATGATGCTTATATGATATTTATAAACAATAACAAAACAGTGATAAACGACGTAAATAACTGGCTTTGCTTGAAATTTTTGAAAGATTCTGAAAAGCTTATGGAATGAGTATATTTACTAGGAAATTATGTGTTTTTTGGATCTTCGAGTAAACATATTGATCTAATATGAAGATTTTGCGCTTCAAAACCAACAACAGACAGAGTAGAATAAACTAATAGCCTTTCACAGAATCGTCTAAATTCTACTCCTATAATTTTGGATTTTGTTGTGCCGTAATCAATGTGTAAGATTATATTGCACTTATTTAATTCATTACTTTGATCGAAAGACTATTTTACGGTCATTTTTAAGTATCTCAAATGGTTTAAAATATCTTATACCTTGTTTTTTATTTTCAAATTTAGTATCTATGCATGTCTTATTTCTAAATTTTAAGGAGCAATTTAACTTTAAATTTTTTTGTTAAATTTTAGTTAAATGTAGTTATCTATCATAGTAGTGTTCCAACACTATTCTTATTTCAAGACAAGTATAAGTGAGGCCAATAAACTGTTTCTTTTCACATGTGTCTTCTATACCTCACGATTGCATAATAGATATACATATAGCGTACAACTCCTTGTATTTCTATTCGTCATATGTATATATCATTTTACACGGATATTAATCGAAACTAAAGTATTTCATATTCTATAACATACCGTGTAATAAGAAAAAGAATAAAAAAAACACACTCAATATTGTTATTATTCAATGAAAAATCTATACTATCTACCTTTTATCGCGTTTGCCTTGTCCATTGTCTCTAAAACCTTTTGCAAATGGATTATTGTCAATTTTCAATTGTGTGATCTAAAATGTCATAAATAATATAATTTAGAGGTATATAACTATAGAGCAAGCGAGCAAATGAGCAAACGAACGATACGTATCATTAAACATACTTTTTCATTTTGGTATGCTGTTACAGCAATAAATTGTGTTTCCTTGAATATAAACGTTCGAAAAGGTGCCCATGGTATTTTGATTAACTCATTTGTTTTTACGATATGTAATCGTGGCTGATACTTATGCATTGAATTTAATATTGTCTAAATGAAAAGATATATGTAATCAATAATAAGTTTGTCATGAACGTTTCGGATTTATGAAAAAACGTTTAAAGAATTACTCGATCAGCAACAGCCAATCATCTTTCTTAGTACATTTTATTTCTTATTTCACTTATCTCCACAACAACAATATATTGAGCTTTTTACATAGAAATTTAGATTACGTTTTTCATCAACCAAATATTCTATTTTTTACACATTTAGTTCTGGTACATTTCAGACTTTTTCTTTAAAAAAAAAATTTTCAGATAATTGATAAATGTTCGTATTAGTATGTCAGCTCTTTTCGACGATATTTTGTTGAAATTTTGATAGAGAAAAGCTTAAAAATAAATTTCATTGGAGTTCATATATCTCAAACTTTATTCATAGTCTTCATACGATATATAAACTTTATATATCAACTAATATAAAACTATATTCAAAAGCTATCACTGAATCGTGTTACGTTTAAGTTTTCCTAACTTATATTAATCGATAATTTGAAAAATATTAATAAAATTAAAGTTTAAGTTGAAAAACATAAAGGTGACTTTATATAGCACGAAAAGTTCAACCAAGTGTAACATAATTACGTTGTTAATCATTTTTGCTAAAAATATTAATTTCTTGTAGAATTAATAATCATTTTATACAAGACTTTTACTTCAAGTAATTTGACTATTAGTAATAAAGACCAAAAACATTTCTTACTTTATATTTTTATTGAATATTTGTGGTAATTGAGAAATGCGATAATGTCTTATCTGATTTTACGCGTGTAAAATGTCGAGTTCTTCTCCTTTCTCCTGTTTATTAACAAATTTATTACAAGTGGGTCGAGATACAATCATGATCTAGTCAAGTATATAATTTGATCTTGAAAAACAAATTTTATGATTTATATGAAGAATTGAGAGAGATAATAGAAAAACATTTATCTGCAAACACACCACTTATATTGATTGAATATATCTCTTAATTAACTTTCTTATTTGTTATCAACGAAAAATGTTTGTTAATCTCTCTTGTAGTCAGCTCTATTCTCCAACATTTTTATTAGCTCTTCTTTTTTTTACTACATTAAATAATTTAGAAGATCTATGTTGAGTTATTAGATCTGTTTTTGTTTGATTTGTTTTCTTCATATTTTTTTAGTTACAATTCGGTCTGTATTTCTATTCGTTAATTTTTTTTTGTCTGTTCTGTTCATGTAACAACTTCACTAAACTCTGGATATTTTTATTACATTAATTCGTAGCTTTCTTAACAAAAAATATTTTTTGAATTTCAAATATATAAAATTAGGCAATAAAATTTTTCATTTCACAAACATTGATGCATCTGAATCTTTTCTTTTCTCTCACTCTATCTCTCTCTCTCTCTCTCTCTCTGACGTATTGTTATAATTAAATGCGAAACTTGTGTTTTTATCGCTCGAAACCATATTTATATTAACTATATAACTTCATAAATACGTCTATATCATTTGTGTTAAGTACATGTTTTAGGAGGCAAATTGTTCTGTGGATGAAAACTCGTCTCATATAGCTAATACCTAAAATGTATACTCACACATCTCACCTGTACTCACTCTCTTTTATTTTTATAACTTTCAAAAAATTAAGTGTAGAAGAATAAGTCATGATTTAAATCATGTTAGAAAAAAAAAGAAAAGAAAATGTATGGAGGGGAAAAAACCGAGAATTTAATGCAAACAAATCGATAGTGTCGTATTTCTCATATACAAAATGAGAAAAAAAGATTTAACATTTTTACAACTGAATTATAACAACTCATATATTTTCTAAACTGTTAATAATAATAAAAAAAAAACAAAAAAAAAACGAATACTTTTTCACCTTGCGAATGATTGTAGAGTGTTGTATAATCAACCTGTTCGATAAGACATCAACGAATTTAAAAATAGTACAATTATAAAATATTCTATAAATGGATGAGGATGACATCCGATTTTAAAAGTCTAGTCAATTTTTAAGTTTGATTTTTTAAAGTTTAATAATTAATTCTAAATGAAAGTTTAAATTACTATTTTATAACAATTTAAAAACAAAATTTCAGAGTTCTCTTGAGATAGTCGGGATATATATATATATAGTCTATCATGAATTTGAAGATATTATAATTTACGTCTATACGAACACTTTTACTAATCAGTTGTTAGCGTCTGCATAATCATTGATATACAAGTTAATACACGTCAAACTGTATTGCCTCTTACATTATATATATAACGTTATATATTTCTTGCATACCGAACATGTCTCTCTCTATTAAAAAAGAATAAAAGGTGAAATTTATTTGGTGGATTGTAAAATAGATAAGGTGAATGATGGTAGTTTTTAAAAATACAGATATACTAATGTGGTAGTATATATATAGTAGCCTATATATACTATCATATCTAGAAAAACTTATCATAAAACATTAACTTGTTTATTTAGAAGATATTTGTCATTATACATGATTAATATACCGAGGAGAGTACACCTGGTCGCTTATCGATAACTAATATGCAACGGCATTATTATACAAACATATATAGATGCGCACATTTTACACAAGAAAACAAAATACTCACATAACTATTTTTGTCAGAAATATTGTTTGTTAATTTTAATTTATGAAATGATACAAGTTTTGACATCCATTGTTCACCTAAAATAAAGAATTAATAGAGACTATATATAGAATATTGAAACGATTAATTACCTGTTGCTGGTGAATCAGGATGAACATAAAGACGTTTTGGCATCTCAGGATCAGCATTTCCAGCTATCATCCATTTAGAATTGTGAAATTTATATCGATGATTATCAGCTGCTTGAATATCCATTAAAAATACATATTTGGCTTGTTCAGAAAGACCGGTTACTTTTACTTTAAATGCTGGAAAGATCCTTCTAAAATACAATAAAAAAAAATAAAAATAACTGAGCTTTCAGCTAAGCAAAGAACTTCTTTTTACAATAAATTGATATTTATTTATTATTGTTTTTTTTAAAGATCCATTTGTTTTACTATCTATATCTGATAAAGGTGATAATGTTTTGAACAACAACAAATCGTTGCTAAATGCATTGTGAATACCTGTATATAATACTTGACCGAAGAGTTAATGGATTGATAATCACGACTTCTTTTTTTCCCCTTTTTTTTAGTGTATGCTTAATGTTTTTACTAAATGATGTGACAATGATCTTTAACAATGATGAATAGAACATCACTTGATTAAGATATGAATACACTCGCTAGAAATATGAACTCTTCTGGTAAATGTCAAGATATGGTCAAAATAAAAAGAATTAAAATTGTCTCGTATACACATGTAGGCGTTAAATATTTACTACTATTACTACAATTTTCATCTAGTAAAATCTTTAACGGAGAGTATTTAGTTCTAAAGTTGACGATTTGAAAAAAGAAAAAGGTCAGCCATACACATCATCACTACAATCAAAAGTGAATGACTCAAAAGATGTTTAGCTTGATCTTAAAATGAATTGTGACATTAGCTTTTAGCACAACGTCAACAGAAACAAACGTTAACACTTTTAACTTTTTTTAAGATAAGAAAATCAGAAGAGGAATATGAGAAGTATTTCACAATATAGAATATCAACTATTCTTTAGTACTTTGACTTTTCACATCTAATTCTTTTTTTTACGGTATAGTTTAATACTACTGACGCCTAAAAATCGAAGTTTTGGTTGAAAACTTCTTGTTTTATTGTATTTAACTACACAAAAACACTTAGACTATACTTCTCAAACATTATCTAAACTCATATTTGATTATCCAGCATATAATTAAATTACTTAGAGAAGACTATAAACATACCTTCCTGATTTTGTGATAACCATTTCTGTCCCATGATTATGAAATTCATCCCACAATTCTTTATTATCTAATTCTACTTTTGGATCATCATCATAAATGGTACTACTATCATCAACAGTCTCATCAACTGGATCGACAGATGGTTTATTATTAGTATTTCTTGAATTTTTTTGTAGTTGTTGCTGATTTTCATAAGGCTGACATAAACCGGTGAATGGATTATGCATTCTGTACGAAAATGGATTACCAGCAAATATTGGATTCAGACTTGGTATATAATCACGCGACGTTATCGACGGCATTAACATATGACGAAAAACCATATTTCGAAAGGGAAAATTATTAACTTCGGTGTGTGTATGCGTGTATTCTTTTATTGCTTTTATCAAATGACAACTTTTAATGATTTTTTATTTGCGGCACCTGTGTATGTGTGTGTGTGTGTGTGTGAGTGTATATGATAGGTATAACTGAAAGAGAGAGACAGAGAGAAAAGTGATTTATATAAAATATCCCTATATGGTTGATAAAGTGTCAGTATAAGGAGGTTTTTTCACGCTTCAATCCAACATTTTTGTTTCTTTATTTTTCTCTCAGAGAGTGTCATCAGACTCGCTACGACTCTCTATGCTTTATATGTGTTGTTTGATTGAAGGATACACCTATATGTGCGTAAGAGAATATTGGTTTCTTTTTTTTTCTTTTTTTTCTCTTCCTTCACTTAAAAGGTGTACGATTTTCACATATTATTGGAAAAGAGAAGTGTAGTAGCCAGTGTAGTTGTGTGCAAATGTCACCAATCAAAAAAGAAGAAGAGAAAATTTGAATATGTAGTATTTTTAAATATCAATTGGACAGAAGGGAAAGAGAAAGAAAAAAAATGAAAAAGTGTTGTTTAATTTGTTTTCACAAATATTATTATATTTTTCTCATATTGGAGGTAAAAGTACACCTCGGGCATGCGATGTAAGCTTTGCGTTATCAGTTTAAAATAGATGTTTATAAAAAAAAAGATGATTAAACACATACGATTATTACATCTTTCAAGTATAATTGCGAAATCAACTTCATCCTTCTCGTAAAATAAAATAGCAGAGAAAGAACTGAGGCGTAAAATGGCTGTATGAATAGATAGACAAAAAGTGTTCCTTATTGAAATTGTTTATTAGATTGAGCTGAAATGTCCACCACCAGAATTAGTTGACAATTTTGTAAAGGTGAGACGCATTTTTTATTTCTCTTTTATCACTTTTGTCTTTATTTATAACAAAAGTACTAATAAATCTTTTAAATATCAAATGACATTTGCAAATTAAAAAACTTTAATATGGAAGAAAACAAGCTGATAAAAAAAGAAAAACAATGTCACACACTTCAAACATGTGAACCAGTTACGGTATAAATTTTAGCTCAATTCGTGATAAATTTAAGTGGAGTTCGCAATGGTGCTGAGTGAAGGAAAATTGTTAACAATTCTAGTGAAATATAGTACGATAAAAAGATCTTTTTTTGGCCGTTTTTTATTGATTTAAGAGAACACTATACAACATCATACAGGAACAAAGAATTTCACATGCTGAAAAGAAATGAAAAGAAATGTGAAGAAACTTAGAAAACGAAATTTTTGAAGCTTTTTGTTGAAAATCTTAAATATTCTAAAAGAAGTGTTGAAAAGAGATGACCAGAAAACAGTTGGCTTTCTGTCAGTGGCTGGCCGAAGAGCGCCACTTGCGCTGGCAACTGGGGCGGCAAGGGGTGGTAGTAGCCAACGCAAGTAGTGCTCTTCGACCCGCCACTGCTTTCTGTATAAAAAAGTTATGAAAAATTGTATGTGCTTTCGTACTAGATTTTCTCCCTCTCGAAACAGTTTCGAATATCATTACTCTTTTAAATGACAAAAAAAATGAATTATTTCGTCTGAGATGAAATCAGAGTCATTAGATTTCGAGAAACTTACTCTCAATCTTAAAAGTGTAAAGATATTGCAGAAAAAAAACCTCATCCTCGTTTCGCGTAAGCAAAAATGGAAGAAAAAGTGATACCTACACTGTGAACTTTTAAACATTTCTTTTTATAAAAAAATAAGTTTTCTTCCACTTACAAAAGAGTTTTGTTTTCTATCTTTTTAACAAAGTTGGTTGTGAAGAAATTTCAAGTACAAATTTGCTGTATTATAGTGCATCAGTTTATTTTAACAATAGAAAACCATAAAGTTGATATCGACAAATTGCAAAAAAATTAAGTTATGGTTTGCCTTGTAGTTAGTATACGATCAGATTCATTTTTATTGACCAAACCGTAAAGATAAAAATCTTGGCAGCCGTTTTTATATATAAAATATCAACAATAACAAATTGTTACATAGTCATGTGTTCATGATAATTACTATGGTGTCTTTTGCGATAATAATATTCATGTAATTGTTTTTTTACTCTTGATAGATAGGTGAGTCTTTTGTCGAGTATGTACGACTATGTCCAATAGATGATATGTCTGCTAATATAGAAATTCAAAAAAAGAAAAGAAAAATATATTCCTCAAATAAGATATATGATAGAAATCAAAAGAAGAAAAGAAATCATCTAACGATATCTTGATAACAGACGACAACTTGATTTTTTTATGATACATTTTATTTACAATAAACTAGAATGTGAAGTGATGATTAACGTTTTAATTATATACATGATCAAAGTAGAAAACGGTTTACTCAGGAAAAATCTATACGACTGTAAATTATATGACAGAGTATATGGTCTTTTCATGATTATCGACAATAAACAATTCGAGTATAGTGAATATTCACATAATTCTTGAAATCCAAATATATTGACAAAAAGTTTATTATTTACATCTTCATGTTAATAGTTGGACGATAGTAGTTTTGATACGAAAACCGTCTACGATGTGTTAATGTTAAATATCTTAAATATAGTATTTGAGGTAGTTAAAATATGGTTTCTGATATATTTGTTTGGCTAGAAGAATGCACCGTTCTATCATCTGAAATATTTTATTTTGTCTAGCGTACTGCTCTTAGTTTAGTGATTTACTTGCCAAAACAGTTAGTCTAGAGTTGAAATACAAAACGCATGCTTTTTCCAAACTTTGACTATATCCCTTTAAATGAAAGTATATAAAAAATGCAACCATAACTCCGTATCAAACTGATCACTTTTAGATTACTTTTTTAAAGCAGTGAATAGCTTTCATTTGAAAATAATCTTCAAAATGTTATTTCTAAACCCATAGTATCTGATAGACTTGAGGAAATTCTCTTAAAATGTTTCTTGTTTTAAACTGTTTTGTTATTCATTCTGCTTCTTTTTTTTTATAAAAATACGATAAACCAAATATCCAATGTAAAAGTAACTGTGTATCATTCACTTTCATCTTATAAATTTCACTGTTTGTCTTTAAGCACGATTTAACCAATTGTGCGTGTGTAGGTAAGATTTCTATTTATTCTCCATAATGAAATGTATTTAAACAACAGTATACTCGTAGCACTGCTTCTGGCATGGAGAGAATGAAATGACGAAAAGAAATTATTATAAAACGTGTTTTTATATTCGTTCATCAGTTTACTTATAATTCCTCTTTACTATTGAATAGTGAAACCGTAAAGAAAAATTCTGATCTTTGTTTCTCTCCCTTTGTTTTTATTTTTAACTTATTTGATTTTCTTTCTGTAGACGACAATGACAATTCATTATGACTGATGATTAGATTTTTATTTCATTTCTATGTGACAAAACTTTGTATCAAATGCAGAAGCGAAGCACTTTTTCTTTCAAATATTTTAATTATGATTCCGACATGTCTGATGATATAGATCAAAAACAATATTCAATTTTAACAGATTCTTTTATGAACTTTGATGACCAGAGCCTGAATCAATGTAATACAATGTATTAAGTTAGATATAGAACGGTGTGAAAGTCTGATTGGGAATGATGTAGGATATTCTCAGCTGAGATTACAAGATAATGTTTACATGGTGGATAATAGCATAGACACTTAGATCAAGAGTGAACGTGTTCTTTGTCAATTTCTGTTATAAAAGATAATACACTTCGAAATGCCGGCTATCCTTTTCTATACATCGAATTTTACCAAAAATAGTGTCGGAACAGTAGGAACACTCACTCTAGAAAAGAAGGCAGGAAAACTGATATATAAATTCAAAGATTTTTTCACTCTTTTCAGATTAAAAATGAATTAAGAGAAAAACTCTCAGTACACCGATTCCACACTATTAATCAAGCTCAAACTTTGCACAAATATTCTCTATGTATATTTTATAATATTTGATTATATTACACTAGATTTCTGAAATCCAAAAGCGTTTCACATAAAACACTTTTTATCCATTCAAAAAGCATTTTCAATCGATACAAATAACATATTTGGGATCAGTTCACCACACTGAGTTAAGACGTGTACAAAATAATTGATTTCGGATGAAGAAAGTTTTGGTGAGAATCTTTTATTTGCAAAAAATATGAAATTGTTTCAAAATACTTGGTAAGAGGATCTTTTTGTCACTAGCGAACGTTAGCGGCTCAAAGCTGCAGCAATATTCTAGAAAAACCCATAACGTTCGAATCAGCAATCAAACCTATCTGTACTTGTAGGCACATACCACCGATCCGACTAAGATTCGCATGTAGACTTTAAACGTATATCTCACCATACTATGTGAAAAAAATTCGTATTTTAGAACCTCTAAAGATTTTGTATTTTCATTCTGGAATAGTAGCGATCCAGTAGAAGACACATTCGCTCGCATTGTACTTTAGTCTATTTTCTCACTGGTTAGTTCCTTCAAAAGCTTCAATTTCATGCTATTTACCATTAGTCCAGATCAGGCATGCAACAATCCCAAGCTAGGGCTCGCTGATCGGCAGTGCACATGTTCAGTAGAGAACCGTTCGGTAACAAACCGTTTGGTGACCGAACGTGATCGAGTGCGAACAGTTTGGTGACCGAACATGTTCGGTAACAAACCGTTCGGTGCCGATTAGCGATCCCTAGTTTGGGATTGTTGGATGCCTAAACATGGTATGCAACGTTTTTTTTCACGGACGCTTGAATTTCACGATAAACCGGTCACCGTCTATCATCAGACGGTACAATAAATAATGCGTTAAATAATCATTGAAACGAAAAAATTAATCGATCTTAATCTGCTATCTGCTAGATTAGTTGTACTTATTAAGGTCAACCAAAACTGACATTTAATAACTCATGCATAACCATAACTGTGTAAGGAAAAAACTCACTTTTAATCGGCTAAAAACTGTTAAAAAACAGCCCGTTA